GGGCACGTCCGTCTACAGGAGGAGTCTTCAAAAATAATCCTAAAATAGTCTGGGGACGATGTTTCGATTATGGCTGACTATGTTTGAATATGTTTGGGCTATCGTTTATGTGTGCTCCAAAATCCGCCTGTAGGAGGACACGCCTGCCCTAAGGCTACACGCAGGAGTGACCTTTCGCCGGAGTGACCTCGGGGGTGCGGGCACACGGGGGCATTGGGGCCCACAGAGGACGGAATGCGACGCGATCGCGCTCGGATGTGCTCCCCCCCCCCGTGGCCCCCGAGAGTGGCGCGCCAGGGGCCACCCTTGCCAGGGGTCGCTCTTGCGTGCAGCCAGCCGCTGCTCTTCTCTTGCCTCGCCGACGGGGTCGACGCGGTGTTGGCGCCCTGGCGCTTGGCGGCCGCGCGTCGGGCCGCAGAGCCCGCCGTTGCTGCTGGCGCCTGGAGGCGACTCGGCCGCCGTGGCACGCATCTCCGCGCCTGTTCAGCGCAGTCTCGCGCGGGGCTCGGCGGGCCAATGGCGACAACATCCAGGCGACTGACATGATAGCAGGGCTGCGAGCAGGAACATCCGTCGCGTCGCCTCACCGCGAAGCTCCGTCGCTCTCCTCCTCTCGCCTTCCCCTCCTCCCAGCCCGTACGCGGAGCCGGGATGGCGCAGCTGCTTGAGGGGGGGCGGGTCCGGGCAAGTAGGGCCCAGGGGGTGGTACTCGGATGAAGCAGCGGGCCGTTCAATTGCATCCCCAGCCTGGGCGCTTTCAGGATACCCCGCCGAGGGAACTTAAGATTTCACCATGCAGGACACAAGGCTGGCATGAAGAGGAGGAGGGAGGAGGAGGGAGGAGGAGGAGGAGGAGGAGGAGGAGGAGGAGCCAGAGGAGGAGGAGGAGGAGGAGGAGGAGGAGGAGGAGAAGGAGGAGGAGGAGGAGGAGGAGGAGGAGGAGGAGCCAGAGGAGGAGGAGGAGGAGAGGAGGAGGAGGAGGAGGAGGAGGAGGAGGAGGAGGAGGAGGAGGAGGAGGAGGAGGAGGAGGAGGAGGAGGAGGAGGAGGAGGAGAGAGGAGGAAGGAGGAGGAGGAGGAGGAGGGAGGAGGAGGAGGAGGAGGAGGAGGAGGAGGAGGAGGAGGGAGAGCGAAGACCGAGAAGATGAGAGGACACTTGGCGGTAGCTCCTGAGCCCCCAAGGCTCCCTGGTGGCAGAGAGCATTCCATCTGCTGCTGGATCACGGGACGACGCAGGAGAGAAGGGGACGTTTCTTCGGGGGGAGCCAAAAGGTACCGATACCGCTGTTCCCAGACCTCTCGCGGGGTTCGTTCTGACCAGCATGTCGAGGCGAATCCAGCGGTGGTGGCGAGGGACTCCCAGGAGGCCGAAAAAGGGGAAGACGAGACGGCACAGGTAGTGGTATAGGGGTACTTTTCCTCGTCTGATCGTTGGGACGTCTCTTTGGGTGGGGGTTGGGCGGCGCTTATTTTAATTCCTGCGATCCGGTTCGATTCGATCTCGATGGCTTCCGATTCCGATTTGGCTTCGGATTCCGATCTGGATTCCGATTTCTCAAAGGAGGCCTACCAGCCTGCCGATTTCGGTCGATTCGACTTCTCCCGACTTGCCGATGCGATTGATGTCCATCGCCGATCTGACGAATCGACTCGATTCTGGGTTCTCTGGGAGGGCGGGGGGCGGAGCTGAGGAGACGACGGCGAGGGAACGCCGAGGAGGAGGAGTAGGAGGAGGCAGAGGGCCAGAGCCAGAGGAGCAGGAGCAGGAGGAGGAGGAGGAGGAGGAGGAGGAGGAGAGGGAGGAGGGGGAGGAGGAGGAGGGGGAGGAGGAGGAGGAGGAGGAGGAGGAGGAGGAGGAGGAGGAGGAGGAGGAGGAGCCAGAGGAGGAGGAGGAGGAGGAGGAGGAGGGGGAGGAGGAGGAGGAGGAGAAGGAGGAGCCAGAGGAGGAGGAGGAGGAGGCGCCCCACCCCATCCGAGTCCAGTGCGCGAGCTGAGCAGTGCTTGGGCGATTCCGTGGACCGTTCTCTCGTGTTGAGGTCGTTTCTCGCAGCAGAGGCTGAAAGAATCCGCAGCAGGCGAGGGAGAAGTGAGAAGGAGAAGGCCTCATCAGAAGGCGGCGGGACTTCTCAGAAGCCCTCGCGCCTTCTGAGAAGTCTTTGTTGTGTCTCTGGAGGACGCTCAGAAGACTGCTCAGAAGACCGGGGGACTTGACTGAGCCTTCTGAGAAGGCCTTCTCCTTCTCGTGTCCACCCCTCGCCCGCCTGCCCGAGCTGCACCCCCATCAGCCTCTGCGGCTATGGCTGCGCTGGCCTCCACGGCGGCGGTCTACGGGGCCCGAGACTTCTTTGGGGTACCGCGCGCCCCTCGCTGCACCGCTGTCGTTGTGTCCATCTGGTGCGCCAGCCTCTGGACTGGCACCTTCTCAATTCCTGGAGCCACGGTTGTCGATGAGCCGCTGGCTTGTGAGTGCGGCGCTTCGCCGTCGTCGTTGTCAGGTGCAGCCTGCTGCTGCTGCTCCTCCAGGTCGTCGCCTTTCGTTGGGATCTCTCTTCGGCCGCGGGCACGGAGTCCAAGGGGGGGTCTTCCTCGCGGCAGCTCCTTGGCCGAGAGGTGATGCTGCGCCCGCCTCCGCCGGCCCTTCCGGTCAGACACGTCCGAGTCCTGCTCATCCTGTCGCCGCGCACTCCGCCCCTGACGCCATGCTTCGCGGCGCATGTCCTTTGGCAGGCGCATTCGCGCCAATCTGGATTGCTCGGAAGCCTTGTGGATGTTGTTTCACGAGGGTGTCCAGCCTCTGGTGCCTCGTCTCCGTCATCGGGTACTGGACGCGGTGCGCCTGCCAGGTGGCCCATGGCATCCCTTCCGCGGTTGGGCTGCACCGCCAAGTCAGGTCCGCAAGGCTGGTGGTGAGTGGCCGTTGTCTAACCTGGGCAGCCGCTCGCTGCGGGTCCGTGCGTACGGCTGGTTCCGGCTCCGCCGCCGTTAGGTCCTGCGCTGCTGTTGCAAGATTATGCTCCTCCAATGCTGTTATGGCTGGCACTTCGGCTCCGAAGAGACCCGCAACCAGTTGGTGCCCTTCTGTGGCGCTGGCTCGGCCAGCCTGAGTATCGCCGGGGAGGGCTTGGCTGTGTGCTCTTCGACGTGCCGAGGCGCTGTCTAGCCACGCGCGGCGGCATATCTCCTCTGCCTTGCGCCTCGTCCATGATTTTTACCTCTGCTCAGGTAGCTGTTGGAAGAGAACGCACCTCCTTGGTTACAGAGCGCCTGGCCGACGTGATGCACGCAGGTGGCTTGCCAGCTCTTGGGCGCGAGCCTGGCGGCTGCTCGGATCCATCTGTCTGAGCTGTCCCACCATGCCCCAGACTCTCGCTTGGTCTGGCCGCGGCGTCTGCTTGACGTTATGTTCTGTCCTCGCCGCCGCAACCCAGATCGATGACATCTTGGGCGGATGGCTGCAGGTGCTTTGACCAGCCGTGTCTGGTGTTGCTGCGTTCCATGCGCGCGGTGTCGCGGGCGATAGCCGAGAGAGATGCCAGGGCCCCGTACAGCTTGCTGAGCGCCGCGGTCCACCCCGCAGGGGGGTGCTGGAGGCCTGGAAATCGGCACCATCACCAAGGCACGGGCCTGCTGGCCTCAACCAGGGGAAGATGACCCTCACATTCGGTGTTGGTGGCAATACTTCGGCCACCTAGGAGGCCAACATGTTACCACCATCACCGAGATCGGGAGCACCTCCCCCCGGCGGAGGCACACGACGATACCGGTCTTGGTGTCCACCCCTGGGCCTCGCAGGCTGCCCATTCCTCGCGCAGATCGTTGCCATGCCTCTGCGGCCCGCCGTCCCGCCTGCTGGCCCCAGCCTCCGACTGCCGGCGTGACCCCTCTGCCCGAGAAGCTGGCCGCTGGGCCACTCGCTGCTGCCTGGCCAGGCTGCACCAGCACCAGCTCGTCGGACGTCGGCTTCTTCGTCGGCTGGTGCTTCTTCGTCCTCGTCGGCTTCTTCGTTGGCTTCTTCGATGGCCAGCTGCACCAGCTCGTCGTCGTCGGCCTCTTCGTCGTCGGCTTCTTCGTCGTCGTCGGCACCTCTGCGCACGGCCCGGGGACGACTGGCAGCACCCGGTCCTCGTGGACCCTTTTCAGGTGACACTTCGGGCACACGCGGCGCCCGCTGCCCTCCCAGGGTCTGGCTCGTCAGGAGGATGCGTTGCGAGGTGTCCCATGTCTGTGTACCCGTCGGTCGTTCAAAGTACGTACTTGTGGAGTCCCAGATCCCAGTCTACTTCAAGCGCCGTTCTACTTTCAGAGTCGAACGGCTTTTGCTGTGTTTTGCAATTCTCTGGGAGGGCCTGGACCCAATCTACTTGATCCGACTTCCTACTGAATTGTTTTACCTACTCCTTCCAGCAGAATTTGGAACGCTTGAGATTGGGCAAGTAGCATCAGCCACAGGGAGTGCCAAAGTGAGTGCGGAGGGCACTGCACTGGCATGATGGGCGCAGGGCGGCTGCTGCTGCTGATGATGCCAACAGTGTGGCGAGTGCAGCGTATTCAGACTTGCGGTACCGATGTATCTCTAAGGGTTTTCCTTGTTCCATCCTCTTCCTGTTTGACGTTGCTCGAACCTGATGCAACAGCTTGGAGCGTTATACGATGCAAGACCTAAACGAACGCCGACTTAGCGGTGTGAGAAACAAATTAGACTTGGTTGGCGCAGCAAGAAGAGGCGCGCCAAAAGAACAGGAAACAAGAGGGCCCAAAGGGCACAGAGTATGCGCCAGCCAGGCGGCTCGCGAGGAGTAGGAAAAATATCGACCGAACATGGTAGACACATCCGATCTGATCAAGAGGGATCCGATCGATTGAAGAGGAAACGGACCATAATCCTCTTCCTCCTCCTCTTCCTCCTGCTACTTCCCCTCCTCCCCCTTTCCCTCCTCCGCCTCCACCGCAGCCGCTCCCCCTCCCACTCCTCCTTTCCCTCCTCCTCCTCCTCCGCCCCGAGGCAGTCCTGTCGGACTACCCCGAGGTCATGAAGTTCCTGGTCGAGATGAGGCCCCTGCGACGCCGACGGCGATGGCGACGAGGGCGGCGGCGTCGATGTCGACGACGAGGGTGGCGACGTCGGCAACCAACGACGGCGCCGCTGGCGCCGACGACGACGTCGAAGGCGACGAGGTCGACGACGTCGACGTCGGCAGCAGCGACGGCGCCGACGTCGACGTCGACGACGAGGGCAGCGACGACGTCGTGGGTGGCGACGGCGGCAGCGACGATGAGGGTGGCGGCGATGGGGCTCACTGGCCGACGCGAGCAGGCGAGGGCAGGCAGTGGGCCAGAGCGCGCCGCGTCCTGCAGCGCCCGGGAGAGGGAGGGGGCAGGAGGTGATGGGGGGAAGGCGGAGGAGGAAGAGGCGATGGAAGCGGAGGACAAGCGGAGGCGGACGAGGACAGTGGGAGGAGAAGGACGAGTGGAAGAGGAGATTGTGGGGGAGGAGGAAGAGGGGGAGGAGGGGAGGATGTGGGGAAGAGGGGGGAGGAGGATAATGCGGAGGAGGGGAGGAAATGGGGATGAAGGAGGGAGAGGACAAGGGGAGGAGGAGGATGAGGAGGAGGAGGAGGAGGAGGAGGAGGAGGAGGAGGAGGAGGGGAGGATGAAGAGGAGGAGGGGAGGAGGGGAGGAGGTCGGGAGGCGGATGAGATGACAGCGGAGGGAATGTATGGAGAAGGATAGGAGGAGGGAATGTATGTCGAGGGAGGGGAGAGGGAGATGGATGGGGAACAGGAGGAGGGAACGTATGAAGAGGAGGAGGGGGGAGGAGGAGCGAGGAGGAGCGATGCTTTTTGACACGCGTGCTTCTTTGTGGATGCACCCAGGGATGTGCTGGAGGCCCGCGCAGACCTCCGGGGACTTCCAGAGGCCTCCTCCGCGGAGGCAAGTGCACGAGCCGGGAGGAGGCGGAGCTACAGCGACACGGCCATGCGCCAGCCCACGGCACGGCGCGTCGGCGCGTTGTGCGTCAACGTGGACACACGCGGGGCCCGCTGCAACTTTTGGCGGCCTCGCTTCCGGTGCACGCGCCACGGACTTGGACCCCTGCGTGGAGGAGCCAAGCAGAAAGGGGGCGGACGGCCGCCAGCCTCCCTGGAAGGCACGGGGCTCCTCAGACGAGGCCGGATGCTGCCCTGAAGGGCGGCTCTTGGAGGGCGGGAGGGCTTCTGAGAAGCACCTTGCCTCCCAAGAAGACCTCCACCTTCACCCTGACTCCTCCCCTCCCGCTGAGAAGCACCCCCTGCCTCCCAAGAAGGCATCCACCCTCGTCACCCTGACACACACACACACATACACGCACACACACACACACACGACACGCGTCGACAAGAGCAGAATACTGATTCCTGGCGTTTTCGATGGGCACCACGGGTATCCACGGGTGTCTGGAGGCTTCCAGAGGTTAAGACGGGAGGGGTCAATGATCTTCAGGACCTGTGTTAGCCCAACGTGTGTTACGGTTCTTGAAATTTGGCGTAGCGTGTCGCTCCGCCAGTTCTGTGCGACAGCACGCTATCCATTTCCTGGCCCCCAAAGCGTCAACGTCCGAGTTTGTCCGAGCCTCCCGCCCCGCGGAGCAGAGCGACACGCTATCCGCTCGCAAGGCATAGCGGGTGCAGCCTGTGTCGGCCATCATCGCACCGCCTGCGTCGTAGTGCAAGGCTTCGGTTGACAAGCACTCGTTGGCGGTGACACGGGAGCAGCGAGGAGAGGAGCGATGATCGTGGGGAGGAGGGAGGCAGAGGGGAGAGCGCGGAGAGGAGGCAGACAGAGGGGGAGGAGCAAGTAAAAAAGGGCGGAGAAGCGAAGAGTGGAGGGAGGAGGAGGGAGAAGCGAGGTGCGGATCATCGAAGGGAGGAGCAAGGACGGGGGGATGCTCGGAGGCAGCGGGGGAAGCAGCTCGAGGCAAGGACCACGACATTCTGGCAATACTCCCGCTGCTTGGCGACCGGCTCCTCGGCCGTTGCCCGCACACGCGTGGGGCCCTCCGCATGAAGCGCTCCAGAAAGGGCCTCTCCTTCGAGGGTCGAAGGAGTTGGCGCCCCCTCCTCGGCGACAGGCGGCGGGACCGGAAGCAAAACGAGGGCGTCTCCGCCGGCGGAAGTACAAGATGCGCCCCAAGAGGTGGCAGGATTTGGGGGCTCGGGGTTCCCGGAACCCGACAGATGTTCGCGCAGCGAGGAGAATTTTGGGTAGCCCAAAAGGGGGTCCAGCTGAAAAGGGTGTGGTGCAATAATTTTTGGGGCAAGTGTATTACAAATGTATTGCGCCGGAGGATTATATTGCATTGTATTGCAAGACACGCATTGCACGCGAAAATAAATCAATACGTTTGCGCCCCCAAACGTATTGCAATACCACAAATCTACATATTGCACCAAACCTATTGCACCACCCCCTCGTCGCTGGACCCTCTTGGGCCAACCCGAAGCATTCGAAGAGCCGGTGCTGCCCGGAGAGGCGCGACGGCAGGCAGCGCGCGGGGGGGTCGAGGGCTCCAGGCCGCCTCCCGTGGTTCCAGACCCGTTGCCGAGGTGGGGGCACTCTCCGGCATCTGACGCGGGCCACACTGGAGTCGGGCCTGTCCCTCCACAGGAGGAATCGCCAAAACAATAAACAAATAAATTAACATATTCCTCTTCCTATATTTTTACAAGCCCGGGCGGGGGGAAAACCCGTCCCCCTCCCCCCCAAAAAACCGGACTCCCGGGATCTGAGGTTTTGGGACCTTCTGGACGGGCCTCGAAGCGGCCCCCAGATCCTCGCAGGGCGTTTTGCCAAGCCTTCCCAGCACACCTAGGGCGATCAGGGGGGTCATCGGAGACGTCCGAGAGACCCCCAAGACAGCACAAGAGCGCTCCAAGAGTGACTGACGTGACCTCAAGATGGCCCAGGAGGCCTCCAGGACGGCCCCAAAGAGACCTCCAAGAGCACTCCCAAGAAGGCCCCCGAGGCACAAATCATTGATCTTCTATGGTTTTTGGTGAATTTTGGGGTTCGCCTCTTTTCGGCTTCCCGACGCTCCAAGACGGCGGTCTTCTGGGCGTCCGAAGCCGCCGGGGAGGCTGCAAAATCGCCCTACAACCATCCGAAAGGGCTTCAGGCAGTCCAAGAGAGCCCCAAAACGGCACAACACGGGTCCAAGATGGCCCTCAGAGAGCCCCATGGCGGCCCACGATGGCCCAAAGACACCCTCCGAAGCATTCCAAATCGTGATTCGGTCGTTCAGGGAGGCCGCGGTTGGAGGCAGGGTGGCCCGAGGAAGCCCCCGGATGCCCCCAGACTACGCCCAGGAGGCCTCCAGAAGGCCTCAAGAAAGCTTGAAACAACTTTTGTGAGGCCCCTAGAGGCTCTCCAAGGAGGAGCCTCCGCAAAAAAGAGCTGAGGAGGATGGGGAGAATGCGCAGGGCATGGCGAAAATAATGAAAAAAGAAGCATGGAGGAAGGATAACGAATAACATTACTATAGCGGCGATGCCGGGAAAGGCAACAAGGAGTTATCGCTAAATTGTCGGCTTGACCGTCCTGCTATTCCGCTTGCATACCAAACTTCAAGGATCAAGGTGCATGGCGCGAAGCGCCACTGCAGTCTTGGCTATATATATATATATAATCGCATGGGGACGATGTTGTTGATTGTTTTTGCGTATTGTTGGGCATGTTCGGGGTATGTTTCATTTTGCGTCCAAGATCCGGCTGTAGGGGGACAGCCCGACCCAAGACCACATTTGCCTGGCCTCCGGCCTCCCGCCTGATCGTTCGTCGCCGTCTGCTTCCCCCCTCCGCCGGACAGCACAGCCTGCCCCTAATCAGAGCCAGCGGCGCGACGTCGAGTCCCCCACTCGCTTCAGATGGGAAGCGCCGGCTTCTTGGAGACTCTGGATCTTCCCCCTCCGCTGCAGCGGTGGTCTCATTCCCGCGTTTTCGGTGTTTCCAATTTAGTAAAAACGAATAGATGTTTGGGCCAGCGCTCGTACAAATAGGAGGCCGCTCACAGGTGAGAGCAACTGCATTGCACCGCCACCAGACAGACCTTGTGTGTGTGTTGGGGGAGCGCGCTGCCATTGCCAGGAACGTCAGATCTTGTCCTTCTGTTGGCGAGGCGCAGGGTGCGAAAGGGGACGTATTTGTCAGATGGATTGGCCTGCCATGCATGCGGCACAGCGGGGTAATTAGCAGCTACGAGGCTGTCACTCCCAATAATCTTCCAATTGTCGGAAGCTGTGGAGGCCTCCGAAGGCATCAGGAAGCCCAAGGGCCAAGTAGCACAAGAAGCACAGACAACGTCTGAACAAATCGAGCCTCGAGCCGCCACATGGTGAGTGCCACGCCTCGGTGCGGCGCGGATCGTTTTTCCCGTCTGGCCGAGTCTTCGTTTTGAGCACAAGCGCTCACCGTGGAGTGGACTTTACAGCATGTATCATCCAGACTCTTCTTAGTTTTGTGCTGGCAGCCAGCCATGCCCGATTCCAGGGCCCGATGCCTGCGAGTGACGTCGGCGTCGCCTCCGTCGCCGTCGCTGCTTGTCGCTGGACCACTGGGCCTCAGGACCTGTGCAGAGGTGCATTCCGACCAGGATGCCTCAAGGCACGTCAGGCCGAGAGGCCAAAACACGTAAGGTCGTCGTCATCGTCGTCGATGTCGTGGGCGCCGTCGTCGTCGTCGTCGTGGACACCGTCGCCACCTGCGGCAGGGCCGACGCGTCCGTCCCCCGCTGCGACGGCTCCCTGCCGCTGCACAGCGCCGCCGCGCTGGGGGACCCAGACCTTGCGGAGAACGTCTACTGGCACGACCGGGAGCTGCGGGGGAGGGGAGGATCCCAGAGGCGCAGAGGCTGGCACCAACACCAACAGCTCGAAGAGGAACAAACACCATAAACAGAAACTCTTGGCGCTCCGCGCGAATATTTCTTGGATCCGCGTTGGGGGCCCCCCGGCAGCGCCTCCGGCGCCGCCCCTGGCGCGCTCACGCCAGGGAGGGGGGTCCAGAGCAGATCCAAGAAGTCTGCGCGGAGCGCCACACGTTTATGTTTACGGCGCTTTTTCTTCTAACATCGGCAGGCGGCCTCCACCGAGGGAGGAGGATCCCGACCTCGGTGACGGTGGTATAGCAGTCGGGCTTCTCAGGTGGCCTTTTTGCTGCCGCCATCACCAGAAAATGGTAGATCAGCTTCCCAGTAAGGGAGACACCTCCCTCTGCTGGCGTTGGTTCCCATGCGCGGGCCCCCGCTGGGGAGGGACACGGCATCCAGGGCTGGACCTCAGCGCTGTTTTGTTGGGCTTCGGCTGTGTCTTGTTCTTCGTTTTGGCAGGGAGGCACAGGAAAACAGGTCGGGCGAACCGAAAACAGAACGTCAAACAACGTTCAGGTCCAGCCCTGGGACACGGCATCTGCACCGGCGCAGCACGTCGCATGCTCGCGCGGATGCCTGCGATCGGCGCCGCACCCCTTTGGCGGCGCCGCCCCTGGCGCGCTCCGCTTGCTAGTCCGGGGAGGCGGGGGTCCAGCGCCGACCCGTCGTCATCGTCACCCTCATCCTCCGCTCAGGAGGAGAAGCGAAGGATTGCAACAAAAACCGAAAGATTGCAACAAAAACCGAAGGATTGCAACAAAAACCGAAGGATTGCAACAAAGGATTGCAACAAAAACCGAAGGATTGCAACAAAAACCAGGGTTTTTGTTGCAATCCAGGGTTTTTGTTGCAATCCTTCGGTTTGTGGTTGTTGTTGCAATCCTGGGTTTTTGTTGCAATCCTTCGAAAAAAAACACGCAGACATGATTCATCGTCGATCCCCCGGAGAATATGGGAAAGCATGGACAGCGTGGGGGGGGAAGCCGAACATCCAGAAAAAATAGGGAATCCTGGGATTCGTGTCTACTTATGTAATCGCTTCGCTCATTCCGCCGGCCCATAATGTCGCACCGTGGTCGCCTGTCCGAGTGGTCGTTTGCAGTGTGGAGCTGCGGCGTCGGGAGTTGTGTAGTTGTCGATAAGTCTGTCCAAAACCGACGGAAAAGCACAGTTGTTTGCCTCTTGGGGCCCTCTTGGGAGATCTCTTGGAGGCCTCTTGGGGCATCTTGGAGGCTTCTTGGGCCATCTTGGAGACGTCTTGGGCCGTCCGGAGGCCATCTTGGGCGTCGTGGAGCGATCTTCGGGCGTCTCGGACCTCTCTTGGACCGTGTTGGGGGCGTTCTTGGGGCCCTCTTGGGCCGTCTTGGAGGCCTCTGGGGCCGTCTTGGAGCCGTCTTGGGCCGTCTTGGGGCCCTTTTGAGGGCCTCTTGGGCCCTCTTGGGGCGATCTTGGAGGCCTCTTGAGCCGTTTAGGGGCGTCGGGGAACCGAAAAGGTTGAAACGCCCAAATCTGTCCAAAACCTAAGAAAAAGCATTGATGTTTGCCTCTTGGGGCCCTCTTGGGAGTGCTCCTGGAGGCCTCTTGGGGCATCTTGGAGGCTTGTTGGGTCATCTTGGAGACCTCTTGGGCCGTCTGGAGGCCATCTTGGGCGCCGTGGAGCGATCTTCGGGCGTCTCGGACCTCTCTTGGATTGTGTTGGGAGCCTCTTGGGGCCCTCTTGGGGCGATCCTGGAGGATCTGGGGGAGTGTCCCGGGCGTGTCTCGGGCGTGTCCCGGGCTCCTCTCGGGGTACTTTTGATCCAGGGACCCCCAGGGGCCGCCCCGCGCGCGCGAACCAGAAATACTGTTTACCAGTTACCGGAGACCTTAGCACGCCTCTGGCCCGTTGGGCCGGCGAATTTGTGTGTCCCAGGGCCTATTCACCCTTATTGTTCTGACAGTCATCATCTCCATCACTAGTGTCGTCATCACCACCGTCACCACACCCATACTCGTCCTCGTCCGCGTTTTGATGGGCTGTCCCGGCAGGAGGCGATGCACGCTCGGGACATGCGCGGGGAGACCCCGGTGGATATTGCAAAGCGCATGGGATTCAAGGAGGTCGAGGCGCGACTCGAGAAGGTCTGGCCTCTTCCTCATCACCGCCGTCGTCGCCCGTCGTCGTTGTCCATCGCGTATGCCGGGTCACGGCCTCAAAGTACGGTGAGGGCATTGGATAAGGAGCCGTTGGATCAGAATCCCAGGGTCTGGACTGCGGTGCATCGATCGCCAAGAAGGCTTGGCCATGGAAATCACCGCCGCTATCATCAAATAAGGAGTCCTTCAGGGTCCGAGGCCTCCTGGGCACATTCCTTGACGAACGCCCCCACCGTAGTGTTGTGAGTCTGAGTGGTTGGTTGGTTGAATTGGAACCTCCAGGCTTGCACTCTGTTGTTCATTGTTTTGCGCGGGCCCTCGCAACCCCCCTCCCCCCCCCCTCCATGGAGTAGATCTTGGTTGCGTTTTGGCGCCTGTTTCACGCAGGTGGAGGCTCCCCCAGAGGCCGCACTCTTGCAAAAAGTCACACTAAGCAGAGGTCCGGAGCCATACCCCCCCGCCTTCCCCCCCTTCGCTCAATGTCGAAACGCCGAATAAAACAAAATAAAACAAAACCCACCTGGGCTCGGGAGGGGCTCTGGTTTTCTGGCCGTTCCCCCTGGTTTGGGGAACTTGTTCGTGGCCGAGGCAGGCTGTGGCCAGAGAGGCGCCCTCGTTCCGTATCCAGCGGCCTGAGGCAAGTCCCGCCACCGTGCCAGCACAGCATCCTCGGTGGTCCTCGCGCGAGGGAGACGGGAGGCCCTCACGTGTGACGGCTCGAGCGGCGACGGATGCACTCACTGCGGCGACGGTTGGAGCAGGCCCAGGAAGCCGTCACGTGTGACACGTCGCTGGACTTTGGTTTTTTTCTTAGCCTGTCCCAGGGCTCTCTGCGGCGACCGCCTGGGTGACGCCGACAGGGTGCCGCCTGGCGCACCTCCGCCGTCGCTGGCCCGTCTGGCATTGCCGCGATGATGCCTGGAGCGGGGTGGGACACGGGCGAGGGACGGACTGGGGAACGTGCTCGCGGCCGGGGAGGCAGGCCGTGGCCAGAACGGCGCCCCCGTTCCTCCCTCCGCGTTTCCCGCGGTGGCGCGAATCCTCTGTTTCAAGCAGTGGCGAAGCGTCCTGGCTCGCCTGCAGCCCTACCAACCAATGTTCTAAGAACCTTGTGTGGCTTCCACGACCTGTTCTTAGAGCTTCTCTGGCTGGGATTGTCTTGTTTCAACACATCGGGTCTATGTTCTAAGAACCTTGTTTTTGCAATTGGAGCAGTTTGGGGTTCTCAGAACATTTCGTGGTAGGACTATATGAATGCCGGGACGGTCGGTCCCTGCTCAATTGTTGTTGTGAATGTGAGTGGATGGTTGTTTGGGTTGGAAGGTGGGCTTGCACCTCTCGTGTCTGTATGCGTGATTTCTGCAGCATGTCATGGGATCCGTGTGTGTTCTCGTAGTTCCGTCAGCAGAGTGGGATAGCGTGCGTTGGCGTCTGGTGATCGATGAGAGAGCGCCGACATAGCGTCGATTAGCGTCGAGTTAGCGTTGGTTAGCGCCGATTCGCAAGAGCCAGCAATATATACATATATATATATATATATATATGTCATGGAAGACTCCCGTGAGATGTCCCACCGAAGGTGCAAACGCGCAGTCATCTGTCGGCGTGTGCTCCGAACCCCAACGGGATACAGCAGCGTGCCGCAGAGTGCTACCCGAGCCACGTTCCAGCTTCGCCTCTGTCATTGTCTGGCCGTCGTGTCGTCCTTCTCCTCCCTCCTCCCAAACGTCGTACTTATCCTTATCATCGGCCGAGTTTGCAGGAGGTCCCCCCCCACAGCTCGGTGCTGGATACGATCGTTTCCGCGCACATCTGCGAGCTTTTGGGTTGGATGGTTCGGGCTGCGGGGGGGAGGGGCAGGACCGTGATAAGGGCGCCATGCCAGGGACTCGGCTGTCGGCTTCGCCTGCTTCGTGTGGAAGGCCAGGAAGGGCTACACGTGTGGACCGCTCGTCTCCAGGGCTTGGCCCAGCTACACGCGCAACGATGCACCTGCTCCGAGCGCGATGCCGCCGATGAGGGACGATGATGGAGGGATGATGGACGAGGGAGGAGGGTGGGGGGGGGAGGAGGAAAGAGGGATGAGAGAGGAGGAAGGAGGGAGGAGGGAGGAGGGAGGAGGAGGGAGGAGGAGGGAGGAGGAGGGAGGATGAGGGAGGAGGAGGGAGGGAGGGAGGAGGGAGAGAGGAGGAGGGAAGAGGGCCGCTTCCCCTTCGTCTGTGCCTCGTTCGCGTGCCGTGGCATCCCCGCACTTTTGCTTCGATCGCAGCGGCTTCGCTCCGACGCCGCAGACCCCGAGGTCTTCTCCCGTGGAGGTGTCGAGGAGCAGGAGGAGGAGGAAGAGGAGGAGGAGGAGGAGGAGGAGGAGGAGGAGGGGGGGGCGGGGCGCCAGTCTGGACGCGCGCTGGGCTCGATGCGTCGGCGGCCTGATATTAGGATGCGCACGGGCCGAGGTTGACGAGACTGGCAGGGGACACAGGCCATCCCCCCTTCACTTGTTTCGTCAGCGGCGAGGCGGCGAACTCCGCTCCAGCGAGAAGCTAGAAAGGGGCACTAACTAGCGAATTGGCCGGCGGGCAAAGAGAGGGGGGGGGGACGGCCGAGAGGAAGAAGGGAAACATCCCCCCTTCACACACAAAAAAGAACAGCACGAGCACATAAACAGCCACACACAAGCAAACACACGAACAAGCACACAAACAAATACACACACAACCACACACACACACACGCAAACACACGCACACGCACGCACACACACACCCACACACACACACACACACTTTTTCCTCCAGCGTTGAAGTGGCGGCGCAGTCGCGAGCACTTAGCCGTGGCACGCTTAGTCGAATTCCACCTGGCGTAGCAAGTGGTTCACTGGGCGGGGCAGTCGCGTGCGGAAAAAGCGCCAAGGGCTCCGGCTCAGGCCCAGGATTCTCTTTTTGTTTGCGGGCCTACACACATATTTTTGGATGTCGCGGCCGCGCGCGCAGCGACGCAGCGTAGTCAGTCGGCAGAGTGCCCCAACGGTGCGGAGGGGGCCTCGGGGGAGCGGCCGGGGCCTCACGCAGCGCCGCACACACACACACACACACTTACACACACACACGCACGCACGCTCGCACGCACGCAAACACACAAACACACACACACACAAACGCACACACACACACACAAACACACACACACACGCACGCGCACACACGCACACACACACACACGCACACACACACGGCACGCACGCACGCACGCACGCACGCACGCACGCACGCACGCACGCACGCACGCACGCACGCACGCACACACACACACACACGCACATACACACACACACGCACATCTACACACACACACACACACGCGCGCGGTTTTCCTTCGACGCGGCGCTGGGTCCCAAACGTCAGTAAACTGTCGGTAAACGATATAGACAAGTCGGACGCGCGCTCAATACACACAACCACACACACACACACACGCACGCACGCACGCACGCACGCACACACACACACACTCACTTGTTGCGTCGGCGGCTGGGCAGACGGTGACTGCTCCGGCGGATTGGCCACAGGGGACACGCTGCATGCAAATTAAAGCCGCCATGCACGGAGGAAGAGGAGGAGCCCAGGCGCGACAGAAAGAGAGGAAGCCAGGCCCGCTCAGGCAAGTTACCGGCTGCGGCAGGGGAGCGCCGGGAGGAGGGAGCCAGCGCGCTGAGCTGCACACACACACAGAGACACACACGCACTCACACGCGTACACACGCACGCCAACTGCAGCGGTGTGCAGGCGGAGGAATTCCATAAGCGGAGAAGCGGAGTGCGCGTTCGGGGCCAGTACTGTCGCGAAAGAAAGTATGCTTGCGACCCTGTGTCGCCACCGTAGGGCCATGAAGCATACCCCGACAAAGTGAGTCAGGAAAGGGGCGCGCGCGTTCAAGCTGCAGGGCGGCAGCTGGCGCGTATGTGGTGAGGTCTGGGAGTGCTCCTTTCTCACGCTCCTAACCGTTCCTAGCCTGGCTGACCCCCCTCCTCCTTTCAGTGGTGTCTTGGGAACCTCTTAGAAGCCTCCTGGGCGCCTTTTGAGGCCTTCTGGAGGACATCGATCAAAAAAGAGGATGATCGCAATTCGTTCCCCCTCCTCGTGAGCCTCAAGAATCCCCTCCTGGTCCCTGTGAAGAAAGAGCGGGACAATACCAAACTCTGAGTAGAGCAAGCGTCGTTCCCACAGCGTCCGTCCGCGGACGTAGGCCAGACCGGCGGCTAGAAGGGACCGAGGGGGAGATGGAGAAGGAGGACGAGGAGAAGGAGGAGAAGGAGGAGAAGGAGGAGGAGGAGGAAGAAGAGGAGGAGGAGGAAGAGGAGGAGGAGGAGGAGAGAAGGAGGAGGAGAGAAGAGGAGGAGGAGGAAAAGGAGGCGGCGGAAGAGAAGGAGGAGAGGAGGAGGAGGGGGAGGAGGAGGAGGAGGAGGAGGAGGAGGAGGAGGAGGAGGAGGAGGAGGAGAGAAGGAGGAGGGGAGAAGGAGGAGGAAGAGGAGGAGGAAGAGGAGGAGGAGGAAGCAGCGCGAAAAGGAGGAATTCTTCTGAGCCGGGTCCATCCTGGGGAGTTTTCTGTCACAGCCGCACAGGTAACAAAAAAAAACGACAAGATCATGTCCCGAGGGAGGCGCAAGGAGTGGTCGAGCAGCCCGCAGGCCTCCAGCACAGCAACGGACGGCGACCACGTCGACAAAGAAAGGCCTTCCAAAATTAGGGAAGAACAGCGCCAGCGGTGCATCCGCTGTAGCTGGACAGAGGAGGGGGCTTCACAGAAACCCGTTTCAAGAAGGTCTGCTCAAACCATCCCCCTCTCCCCCCTCCTTTTTGCTGGCGGAGTGGGCGGGACGGGGCGCGGGACCTCCTCAGATAATCGAAAGAGTGTCGGGGAGCAGACACGGCGTAAACTGAAATTGTCGAAGGTCTGCGCGGCTTTCTCGGACCGGCGCTGGAGCCTCTTGGCGGCACCTCCGGCGCCGCCGCTGGCGCGCTCCGCGCGCCAGGGAGGGGGTCCAGCGCAGATTGAAAAGTCCGCGCGGACCTCCGAAAGTGTACGTTTCTGCGACTTCCTGTTCCTCTCAGAGTGGCCCTTCGTCAGAGTGACCTTTGGTACGGGCCCACGCGAGGAGGAGGAGGAGGAGGAGGAGGAGGAGGAGGAGGAATCGCGAATCGCGCGCGAAGCAACTCCTAACAGACACCCTCCCAGCAGTGTCCCCCGACCGCTGAGCGCCATGCGGCACGGCAGCGGCCTGCGCGCCTGGGTTTGGCCCTCCTCGGAAGCCGCGCACCAGAGGTCGCTCTTGCCCGGGGTCGCTCCTTGCGTGTAGCCGAGGTCGGGATTGGTGGGGTTGTGGCCTGTGCTTCAGGTTGGGGCGTTCAGTGCTTCGGGTTTAGTGCTTCGGGTGTTGGGGTTTAGTGTTCGGGGCCTCTTGTGCGAGGGGGTGGTCCTGGGTGTCGGGATTCGGGTGTTGGGGTCTGGGGTCCGGGTTAGGGCATTCGGCGCTGGGGTTCGGCTTACTGTTCAGGGTGGGGGTTCGTGTTTGGGGGGGGGTCTGAGAGTTAGTGTTCGTGTTTCGGGTGAGGGTTTCGGGCTGGCTGGGGGACCTCCAGTAAGGGGGTGCTGGCTCGGGTGTGAGGTGTGATGGGGTGCGGCCTGGACATCAGGGCATCCTGGCCAAATTTTCGCCCCGGATCTATTTCCCACGGGCCGACGACGACTACGACGACGACGACGACGACGCCATGGCCAAGTTTTCGCCCTGGATCTACTTCCGACTGCCCACGGGCCCGCACGGCCCCCGGAGCCCGAAGTTGTGGAAGAGCGCCCCCAGCGCACTGGTTGCCTCGACGGCGACAGCGACGAGAGAGGGTCAGCCCGCAGGCCGACGCGGGCCAGACGAGCCAGCTGGAGAGGGCTGCGGTGTGCACGCGCGACCTCATCGCAGTGCCGGAAGGCCACCGTTCGCGGCTGGCACGGCCGCCGTCGTCGCCTCGATCGCCGTCGTCGCCTCGATCGCCCCTCGCGCCGTGACAAACGATACGATGGACGGTGTTCTTCCTGGGCGTTCGGCCTCCGGGGGCCCCGTGCTGGGCCTCGGGACACTCCCAAAACGGTGCAGGATGAAAAAACTGTCCCCCGGCAGGGATCCAGACCTCGGGGCCCACGTGGTGGAACGGAACAGAAACACGACGGAGTGGGTCTGGGTCGTCGAGGATCGAGGTTCAGGGTTGTATGACAAGGGTTTGGCGCGTTTGGGCGGCTTTCTCGGCCTCCTCCACCCCTCCTCCTCCTCCTCCTCCTCCTCCTCCTCCTCCTCCTCCTCCTCCTTCTCCTCCTCCTCCTCTCCTCCTACTCCTCCTTCGAACCCTCCTCCTCCTCTCCTCCTCCTCCTCCTCCTCCTCCTCCCCCTCCTCCTCCCCCTCCTCCTCCTCCTCCTCCTCCTCCTCCTCCTTCTCCTCCTCCTCCCACCCTCCTCCCTCTCCTCCTTTGATCCTTTTTGCAACCCCCAGCGGCCTCTGGGGGACCTCCTCCCTTCAGACGTCGCGATTCGTCCAACGCTGTGCCCCAGGAATTTGATTATTTGAACGTTCTCGGGGTCATGTCTGTTCTGTCCTGAGTAGTTTCCTGTCCATGGCCACAGAGCCCGAATCGAGCCCGAAGAGACCGAAGCTTTGTGAGGGGGTGCGGGTAGTGCGGGAGTCGGAGGTATGGGCCCCTACCGAAGCAGGGACAAGAATGACTTGAGTGCTCCGCAGGCCCGCAGGGGCTCGCGCGCTCGCCTCGCCCCGCTGCCTCGCCCCCCCCGTCTCCCCTCCGCTTTCAGGCGACGTCTTCCGCCTGGCGCGCCTGGGCAGGTTCCAGCAGGTGAGGCAGCTCGTGGAGGCGCCGCGGCGCGGTGCCCCGTGCCCCTCTCCAGCGCCCTCGCTGCCTGATGGTCGGAGCGCAGTGGGCGGCAGGCAACACCCTGCTCGCTGCGGCTGGCGGGTGGAGCGCCCCGCCAGCCGCCCCTCGGCCAGCGCCGTGGGCTCGGGGGCAGGGGAAGAAACTAAGAGGGGAAGGGGGCCCGAGGCGGGCGAGTGCCGCGGGACGCCTCCCCCACAAGGGCAGGAGGAGGAGGAGGGAGGAGGAGGAGGAGAAGGATTAGCATCCTCCTGCTTTCCTTCCTGTTCCTCCTCCCCTCCTTGCTCTTGCTGCCGCTGCTGCTGCTCCTCCTCCTCCCCCTCCTCCTCCCCCCCTCCTCCTCCTCCTCCTCCTCCTCCACCTCCTCCTCCTCCTCCTCCTCCTCCTCCTCCTCCTCCTCGGTTAACCCGCGGCCCCAGCACCCACCTCGCTTTGCGATGGGTGTCCACTGGGGCCAGGCGTGTGAGGCCAGTCCACAGCACGCTCTAAGGGACATGTCCCCAGACTTGGGGCGGAAGCGCTGGCCACTTGTTACCCAGTGCTAGACGAAGGGGGGCCCATCATATTTTTTCGCCCCCCGGTGCGGCTTTGAATAGGCGGCACACCGAGGGACATGACAGGGCCCCCCTCCCCAAGACTAAGACTCACAGCGTGAATGCTGGGATACGAACCGTGTTAAAGACAGAGGGGGGCCCATCACATTTTTTCGCCCCTCGGTGCGGCTTTGCCTGGCGGCACCGAGGAACACGACAGGGCCCCCCTCTCCTAAAATCAAAAACGCGGAAGGAGGAAAGAGGAGGGGAGGAGGGAGGGGGGAAGAGGGAACCGGAAGAGGGAGGAGGCGTGGGCGCGGCGGGGGGGTGTGCGCCACCCGACCCCCCCCTTAGGCGCCAGCGCGGCCCCGCCTAAGCAAGGAGCGGGGAGGAGAGGGGGGGAGAGGGGGCCGACTGGAAAAAACAAGTTAGGGCACACTGGGCGAATCCACAATTAGCGAAGGCCTGCGGCTCTGCGGCGCTGGAGGGCCAGCTGCGTCTGAACGACGCAACTGACCACCTTGTATGCGCGGATGAGCTCCGCGCTCTGCTGGTCGTCCGGGCAGGTCTTGGCCTGGCGGAACAACCACTGGCGTGCCTCCCCCCCGAGGCGACCTGACGTCTCAACCACGAAGGGCGTGAGGCGGTCGCCAGGGTAGCGCGCATGTTTCTCGCGCTCGGCTGCCCGCGCTGCCTCGCCTGGCCTGCGGGCGGCTCGGCCCAGGACGTGCTCTGCCGCAGGGTGGCGCACTGTCACATCAATCCAATGCCGTCCCGCACCCTCGAAATACTCGATGTCGAGGATAGCGCGCTCGAGGAGGTCGGCGCCGGGCGGGTCTGTTGGCCGCTGCTCGCGTTGGCGGCCCCACGTGGGTACCCTCAGTTCCTGCAAGGGGTCGCGGTGTAGCCACCGCTTTACGAGGCCTGCCACGGAATCCTCGAGCCTACCGTGGCGTACCACTACTCCGCCTCCCTGCGTGCAGATGGCGGCGTGGGTGCCCCTGTCGCCAAGGGGGGCCGAGCAAGCAGCCGCGGCCGCGCCAGTCCCGCGGTTCCTGTTCTGGCACACGGCTGCGGCCAAGGCCAGCTCTGCCCGCGAGCACTCAGGCCTACCAGCGCCCGTGCGCGCAGTGCAGACGACCAATGCTCGTCTTCCATGGCGCACGCAGGGTCGCTCGGGTACAACAGGAAGGCCGCCGCGCCAGGGCCTCCAGCGCCCAGGAGAAGAGCCCTCTCGTGAACTGGCAAGCGCTGCCACACGGCCGCGCGAGTGTTCTTTTGCACAAGTTTCACGAGTTTGCTCTGCTTGAGCTGGTTCTGGAGAGCTTCCACGAGCGAGGCCCCAGGGGCTGGGTCGGCTCCGCGGCCCCGCAACTCTGCGCGCACCCCGGTGAGCGCGTGCTCCAGCTCAGGCACCGCCTCGAGCAGCTCGCTCGCGGTCGCGCCCGCGTCTCTGGCAACCCACTCCAATGCGAATGCCCAACCAGCCCAGAAGGCAGCTGCCCGGCGGGTGGACGCCCACTGTACTCCAGCCCCTCCCTCCTTGCGCGGCAGGCCGATGACCTCCCGGCTCAGCGGGTCGAGGTCCCTGCCTGCCAGGTCTTCCCAGCAGCTGGCCAGCGCGTTGTCGTAGCGCTGCGTCTCTGGGTCTGTGGCGAGGGTGGCCCGCAAGGCGTGCTGGCTTGCAGCCCCAGCGTAGGTAGTAAGCAAGCTTCCGGCCGCCTGTCTCCGCAAGCCGTGCCCCGCGAGAGGTCGGAGGGCCCGCCAGAGGGAGTCGAGCCTGTCCGTGGCTGCGCCGAGGCCGCCTTCCTGGTTGCCGAGCAGGAAGGGGGCGTCCACCTGGTCGCCGCGCGCCTTCAGGTGCTCCCCCAGCACTGGGAGCGTCGCCGCGCAGCGAGGGCGCAGCTCGTCTGTCAGCCCTGCCGCGCCAGCCGGGACCCACACCAAGGTCTTAGTTGGGTTGAGCTCCAGGCCGTAGGGGGCCAGCGCCTGTTCCAGGAGGACGAGCGTCCGCGCGGCCAGCGCCTCTGGGACCACGATGTACGAGTCGTCCAGGTAGGAATACATCCGCGTCTCCGCGTCGAGGGCGCTTAGGTGCTCGAGGAAGGGTTGCAAGGCCTTGCGCTGACCCACTGCGTAGGCGGCAGGTGCCAGCGGGTCGCCTTGGTCGAAGCCCCTGGTGCTCTCCACCGGCTCGAAGTTGCCGGCCGCGTCTCTCCAGAGGTGGGTCGCCGACCCCCTGTACCACGTGTCGAGGACGCGGGCGACCTCTGGCACGTGTTCCGCCATTGCTTCTATGGCCGGCCCCCGCTCGAGTCTCTGGAAAGCGGCCTTCACGTCAATTTTTATGAACGCGTCGTTCGGCCTCTGCGCCGCGAGGGCCTGCAGTTGCTTCAAGACGAGGTCCGCCCCGCTGGGACGCCCCACCCCGTATTGATGAGGCCCGGCCGCCTCTTGGAGCCTGGCCTTCCTCACCCTTGCCAGGGCCCTCATCCCCAGCCGTCGGAGGGTGGCACCAAGAGTGGCCTGACTTCACCAGCGCCCTTGTCCACGGCCACGAGTTCGCCGACCCGGAGGGCTTGCAGCACCGCCTCCGGCACGTCGCCAAAGGTCAACTTGCCCACGGCCCACGCCATCGACTCAAGGACCGCCGGGTCGTCCGTGCACGAGGCGAGGTGCTCCAGGCGAGTGCCGAGGAGGCCGGGCGCCGTCAAGCGCGGAGGTCGCCGCAGGAGCTTGGCGATGTCGTCGCAGACCTGCTGGAATAGGTCCCGGTCGGGGGCGACCCCGGCGCGAGGCCTGGCTTGCGAGGCAGCCGCGTTGGGAGCACCACGCGGGAAGGAGTCTCTCAGTTTAGCCAGGGTGTGCGCCGATCGAGGGGCGAGCGGCACGCCACGCACCGCGCCGAGCGCGCGGCCTTCCTCCCCCGCGGCTGCCAGGGTGTGGACTCTGAGCGCCCTCCGTTCGTCGGAGTCTTGGCCAGCTGCCCGGGGCGGCGGGGTGGAGCGGCCAGCTGCGTCCCCCCAGAGGGCGTCCCACTGCCCACCCCAGAACCAAGCGAGGCGCTCTTCGAGGGCCTCTGCGCACGTTGCGCCTCCTGCCTGGCGCGCGAGCAGCATGGCGTCGAAGAGGAGGAGTGCCTTCCACTCCTGTTCTGTGTCGCCGCGCGCCTCCGCCTCCTCCAAGGCTCCGAGAGCCGCGGCGCGAGCCATGACGAACGCCCCGCGGAAGCGGTCAGGGACCTGGACGAACGTCGGCGTCCCCACCTTTACGACGGCGTCCCACGAGAGGTTCTCCCACCACCTGCGGTTCGGAAGTTCCTTGCGGCCCCATGCCAGGTGCAGCGGGGGAGGGCTGTCAGCGCTCGCTGCTGGCCGAGGCTGGCGGTCGCCTCCTGCTGCCGCCTGCCGTGCGAAAGCGGCCTGCACGGCTTGAACGTGGTCGTCGTTGGCTGCTCCCCTCCACCTCGTAGTCATTGGACGGTGCAGTGTGGCCGAGGGTGCACTGGGTCCCGAGGAGGGAGGGCCCCGGGTGCAGGGTCCCTCGGGCGGGTTGCCCTCTCACAGATCCACCTGGCCTTCCCGGCCAAGGTGGGACCTGGACGCTCCTTGATGATTTGTTCGAGGATCGAGGGCCACGGCCATGACGACGACGGTGGCGGCGGCGGCCACGGCGACCACGGCCGCGACGGCGGCGGCGACGACGACAGCCGCCGCGCAAGGTAGGAACAGGGCAGGTTCGAGGATCGAGGGCTGAGCTGTTGGAGGGCGGCGCTGGCCCTCGTAAAAAGACCTTCCCACCCGCGCCCAGCACACCAAGACCGCGGCGGACGGGCCTCCCCCCGTCTCCGGCACTGGCGACCTCTCGATCCGATCTGGCACGGGAGGACACGCGCGGTAATGGGAGTGAGTGGTGACCAGCTTCGCTCATGGCGCCGCGTCTTTTTCGCGCCGTTGGATGCCGGGTCGCCTTCCTCTCGCTCCTCCGCTCGGGCGGGTGGTCATTGGAGACGACCTGAATGGGGGTTGGAGAAGAGGGTCCCGAACGGGCCTTTTAGGGCCCCTTTGGAGCCCCTGTTGGCTCCAAAAGGGACTCTAAAAGGCCCTTTCAGGGCCCTTCCGTTCACCATCCATTTGGGTCACCCCCCCATTACCACCCGCCCGATCCACGCCCTCCTAACCCTCCTAGGGCCTGCGGCGGAGCTCCTGGGTATGCGTTGTTGGGGTCGCGCCACTTCGTGCCTCCAGCCGCGGTGCCGTCGCTTGGAGCGGCCTGTGCCCGGAAGCTGCTCAGCTTGGTGCCCTGCGGCCGCTGTAACTGCAGTGGCCCGTCTGCGTTCGTCTGGGCTCGAATCAGCCAGAGACGGACCGGCTCCTCGTCAACACGCTCCCACTCCGTACTCCTGTTCTACCCGCTGCATGGCGCGTCTTCCGCTTCACCATGAGGCCACCGCGGGAGCTCGAGCTGGAACTCCGATGATTCTGACCGAGCTGCCTTCCGAGCACTGCCCTGGACGCCACGGTCTCATGTAGCAGACCGCTGCGCACGCTGCCTCGGCCGCCTCAAGCCTCCCTGCTCCCCTTCGGGTGTTCACGACTCGGCGAGGCACTGCTGAACAAGTTGCTGGTACCGTCTGCGCCCGCCTGCGCTCCACAAGCAGGCGCGCAGGCCCTCGCCAACACGCCCCCGCTCCGCAATGCACCACCAGCAGCACTGCGGGGCATCAGACCGCCTCCTCCTCCTCCTCCGCCTCCTCCTCCTCCTCCTCCTCCTCGTCTCCTCTCCTCCTCCTCTCCTCCTCTCCTCCTCCTCTCCCCTCCTCTCCTCCTCCCCCCTCCTCCTCCTCCTCCTCCTCCTCCTCCTCCTCCTCCTCTCTCCTCCTCCTCCTCCCTTCTCCTCCTACTCCTCCTCCTCCTCCTCCTCCTCCTCTCCTCTCTCCTCCTCCTCTCCTCCTGGTCTCCCCTCCTTCTCCCCTCCTCCTCCCCCTCCTCGTCCGCCTCCTCCTCCTTCCTCCTCCTGCCTCCTCCTCCTTCCTCCCTCCTCCTCCTCCTCCTCCTCCTCCTCCTCCTCCTCTCTCCTCTCTCCTCCCCCTCCTCCTCCTCCTCGTCCTCCTCCTCCTCCTCCTCCTCCTCCTCCTCGCTCCTTCCCCCTCACGCAGCACCGGCGCCTGCACCGCCCTGCCCGTGGCCTGGAAGAGGCCCGCGCGCCTGGGCGCCTGCCCGTGGCGCGCCGTCGGGCGCAGAGTGCACTGGTGAATCTCGGAGCAGTGCCCTGGGCCTCCCAAGTGGGGTCCGAGTCTTAGTTGCCTCGATACATGCGTTTTGAAACGAAACACGTCCCGTGTTCAAGACGTCCATGTCAATAATTACGTTGCGTGTTGGCTCCACGTATTGGACCACGTTTTGGCGAATGTATCGCGTCGGACCTACGTTTTCAGCCTACGTGTTGAGTTCCGTAGCGATGCGGTACGTGTTGCGTGTTGCGTGTTGCGTATCGGCGCAGCCAAGGTCCGAGTGGGTGGGGTCGGAGGATTCCGCCGCATCGCCGATACATCAGCGACGCGGCTCGATGTGGAGCCCGATTTTCGTCGCGACGGCGACGCCGATACACCGCCGACATCGCCGATGCGTTGGCGACGCGGCGCGGTCCTCTGACCCCATCTACTCGGACCCCATCTGGGAGGCCCCTGTGGAAGAGGAGGAGGGAGGAAGGATGAAAGCGCCCGTAGCGGTTTAAACGACGTTCCGTTGGAGATCGTGGCGTCTAATAGTCTAGGAAAGTGTTTGGAAGGCAGCTCGGTCCTAATCAGTGGAATTCCAATTCGAATTCCCGCGGTGGCTCCCTGGTGAAGCAAAAGACGCGCCATCCAGCGGGTAGGACGGGAGTTAGTCGAGCCGACGCTGATTATGGGAGCGGGCAGTTCGACTCCGAAGAAGGACATGGCGCCGACGTGCGACTGACGACGGGGTGCCTTCGACCGTTTTTTTCGGGAGCATCCACAGCGCAGATCGCGAGGCTTCCACTGCAGTGTTGAGCGCGGTTCCAGCCCAGTTGTCGCACTTTATCCTCCTCGTCCGTCTCATCTTGCTTCTGAATGCTAAATGGGCACGTCAAAGAAGCAGTCGCGCCCTGCTAGCAGGTTCCCACGGAAGTTTCTTGTCCCCTGGGAGGGCCCAGGGACCCACAGAAGTTCATGGGGCACATCAGGACGTTCAGAGACCGACAACGCCTATGCCCCAGGACGTCCTATAGCAGGACTTCTCATCGCATGGTTCTGCTGTATTCGACACGTCTTGGTTTGCGACAGGGAGGACATATGTACAAGGAGAAGGGATGGATGAGGGGAAGAGAAGGAAGAGGAGGAGGGTGGGAAAGGAGGGAGGCGACGCCGACGACGACGACGACGACGACGACGACGACGACGACGACGACGACGACGACGGCGACGGCGACGGCGACGGCGACGGCGACGGCGACGGCGACGGCGACGGCGACGGCGACGGCGGGGACGGCGGCGCCTACGACGGCGACGACGACGACGACGACGGCGGTGCCTACGACGGCGTCACCGACGCCGCCAGAGACTGGGGCGGCCGCGGCGGCGCCGCCAGCGACGACGGCGAAGGCGACGGCTCCCGACGACGGCGGCGCCGACGCGCCCCGGGCGCGCAGGACGACCCCGAGGGCCTGCGGCTGCAGAGCGCCGCGCGCCCGGCCTCCGCGCGGCCGCCGCCGCCCCCGCGCGGCCGCCGCCGCCCCCGCGCGCGCGCGCGGCCACGCGCGCGGCCACGCGCGCCCAGATCGGGGCCTCGGACCCCGGGAGGCTTGCGTTCGGGGCAAGGTCCGGGCGGCTGGCAGTGGGGGGTGACCGGAAGGGGAGGCGGAGGACGGGGCCCCAAGGCGGGGGCCCTGGAGGGGTCACTTTGGGGAGCCAGCAGGGACCCCGAAAAGGGGGGCCCTACACAGGGCCCGTTCGGGCCCTTTGCTTCACCCCCCACGTGGGCTACCCCCCAGTACCAGCCGGCCGAAAGATGTAGAACTGTACTGTCCTCTGCGTCTCCGATGCTCAGGCAGCCATCCACCAGAGATCCGAGACGCAGTGGACGCGGATGAGCATCTTGCCTCTTGGCGAGGCCAGGCGCTTGGCCAACTCCGCTGCGGCCCAGCAGTCCAATGCGCCACCGAGATGGGCGCAAATCCTGGCCGCGCGTTCCTGGGTTTTCGGCGGCCTCCAGGCTTGAGGCGCACGTGCGCGAAGCGGAAAGCTGGTATCGAGAGCACTCGAGCCCCATGGAGGCAGATCCTCCCAAAAACAAGGCTGTGGAGGCTTCGGCCTGCCCCGTGCCTCCCAGGCCTTCGGCGCCGCAGCCTCCTTCACGACGCAGCCCACGGGAGCTTCCGACCCCTCCCCCGGGACCGGGCTTGCCGTCACGGATCGTTCATCGATCGGTGCGGTCGAAATGGGGACGGAAAGAAGTAGGTACGAAGACAGACAGCAGTTTCAGCGCATTTTGAACAGGACCCGCTGTCGGTGTCGCCGCGGGCGCAGGCCGCCTGCCCAGCAGCGGCCGCCGTCGGTCTGGGACCACACTTGCTGCTTGGCATCGTGCCCGTTCTCTCCGCGCCCGTTGCGGGCATCCACTGTCGATGATCCCAGGGCCCATCGTGGCCTTCCGCGGAGTGCGATGGGGTGGGTGCCCGCGCCAGCGCGGCGCCCTCTGCCGAGCGCCCTGCCGCACGTGCGGCGGTGCGGGCCTGCCCTCCGGAGCCGAGCGCCCGCACGCCAATCCCGCGCGGCGGGGCGGCGGCGCTCCCGCGTGCGCGCTGCCACGGCTGCCGGCGTGCCGGCGCTGGCCGAGCACGCCGCCGCTCGTGCGCGCGCGCGCGCCGCGGAGTGGTCGGGCGCGCGCGCGCGTGACCCGTCGCACGTGCGCGGTCGGCGGCGCGCCGCGCACGCGAGACCCGCGCCCTGCCGCGCACGCGTGCCGCAGCGGCGCGGAGAGCCGCGGCGGGGCGCCGAGGCCACGGACCAGAGGTGCGGGGAGCGGCTGCTGCACGCGGCGGTGATCGGGGGCAGTCTCGAGCTGGTGCGGTATCTCACGGACGAGGCCCGCTTCGGGGGGGGGGGGGTGCTTGGCTCCGCAGGTGGGGCGCCCGTGCGCCCCTCCCTCGGGGGCAGCGTTCGGGGGGGAACTGGCTCGGGGGGGGGGGCATCCAGCTGGAGTCGGTGGTGCCTCGCCGGCCGATAGGCGACGGGCCCGCGGATGGTGAGTCCGCACGTTCCTGGGCGGTGATGGGCTACCTCAACAAGCCCTCCTTCTCGGCGGGGCATCGCCCATTCCAGCTCGATGTTCCCCCCCCTGAGCCTGTTCCCTCCCGAACGTTGCCCCTCAACACCGCGGCCGCGCCTGGCCAGGACCACTCCGGGCCGCAGGATGGGCGCTCCTGGGCCAGAAGGGCGCATGCAGCATCCTCGGGCCCAGGGTGGCCCTGGGGCCTAGGGCGTGGTGGAGTACGGGCGCATTTCGTGCACTCGGAGGGGCCCAGACCACGGAGCTGCCGCGGTCAAGCATGGCGCTTGTATTGCCCAAACTTGGGCATCTGGCGGGCGCTCTCGGGTCCCAGGGCCGTAAAGAACGACCCGCGGCGGGCGATGGGGATGGTGTCGAGGGCGGGGTCTACAGCTTTGAAGGAGCGCTTCCTGTGGCCGCTCGCGGCGAGGGGGAGGTTAGACCACCCCCTCGCCGCTGGAAAACGATGACGGCGGTTGCCGACACCGGCAAACAGCCGTCTGGGAGCGTCGGGAAGCCGAAAAAACCCGACGGAAAATCAATGATATTGGCCTCTTAGGCCCCTCTTGGGAGGCCTCTTGCAGGCCTCTGTGGGCGTCTTGGAGGCATCTTGGGCATTATTGGGGCCATCTTGAGCGTCTTGGAGCGATCGTTCGGCGACTCGAGGCCTTCTTGGACCGTCTTTGGGGGCCTCGTGGGGCCCTCTTGGCCCGCCTTTGGGCCCTCTTTGGCCCGTAAAATTGACGCGACAACACTTCTCGGAGCCCAGGGGGCACGCGACAAGCCCCAGGGGGGGCACGCGGGAAGCGCCGAGAGATTTGAGAGCGAGGGGTTCGGGCCCCCTTCAGGATTTCGCAGGAGCGAGGATTGAAGCTTAGAGGATGAGGCCCAGCTGAGGGCACGCCAAGCCGTGCCCAGAGGCACCGGTGGCGGATGAGCACCGAGTGAGGTCCAGGAATGCCCATCGTGTTTGGGCCGCTCCTTGGGACGAAGTCGGGTACCCTGTTCGTGGCCGAGGCTTGCCGTGAGTGGCCAGAAGAGCCCCTTCGCTCCTCACTCGGCGTGTCTCCTGGCAGCACGGTTCGCCACCTCCCTGCATCGGCCCGAGCCTGGGCCCGCGGACTACCCATCAGGGTGGGGCCCTGGCATGGAAGACCAGTCCCCAGGCACTCTTTGCCGTCGCAGCGCGGCAGAGGCAATCCGCATGCACGCGTGAGACCTCGACTACACGCAAGAGTGACCCTTCGCCGGGGTGGCCGTTGGTGCGGGCCCATGGGGGTCCCCGGATCGCCGAACGCGATGCGACATCAGCGTCCTGCGCGCTTGTGTTTGGTCTCCCCGCGGCCCCGTGAAAGCCGCGCACTAAAGGTCACTCTTACCCGGTCACTATGGCGCGTGGCCGAAAACAGATAGATTCTTGGACGTTGGGAGGCGGTGCATGCGGATATGCTTGGGCCCCAGGGGGCCCAAGTATGTCCATGTCCACCTCCCACGGCAGTGGACATAATTATATACATATATATATATATATATATATATATACATGTATGTATATATATATATATTCAAGACTGCATTGGCGCTTCGCGCCATGCACCTTGGTCCTTGAAGTTTGGTATGCAGGCGGAATAGCAGGAAGGTCAAGCCGACAATGTAGCGATAACTGCTTGTTGCCTTTTCCGGCATCGCCGCTATAATAATGTTATTCAGTATCTTTCTTCCATACTTTTTTATTTTCGCCATACCCTGGGCATTCTCCCCATCCTCCTCAGCTCTTTTTTGCGGAGGCTCCTCTTTGGAGAGCTTCTGGGGGCCTCACAAAAGTTGTTTCAAGCTTTCTTAAGGCCTTCTGGAGGCCTCCTGGGAGTATTCTGGGGGCCTCCGGGGGCTTCCTCGGGCCACCCTCCCTCCAACGCGGTCTCCCTGAACGACCGGGTCACGATTTGGAATGCTGTCTTTGGGCCATCTTGGGCCGCCATGGGGCTCTCTGAGGCCATCTTGGACCCGTGTTGTGCCGTTTTGGGGCTCTCTTGGACTGCCTGAAGCCCTTTCGGATGGTTGTGGGGCGATTTTGGAGCCTCCCAGGCGGCTTCGGACGCCCAGAAGACCGCCGTCTTGGAGCGTCGGGAAGCCGAAAAGAGGAGAACCCCCAAATTCACCAAAAACCAACAGAAAATCAATGACTTTTGCCTCGGAGGGCCTTCTTGGGAGTGTTCTTGGAGCCCTCTTTGGGGCCGTCCTGGAGGTCTCTTGGGCCATCTTCAGGTCACGTCGGTCACTCTTGGAGCGCTCTTGTGCTGTCTTGGGGGTCTCTGGGACGTCCCTCCTGATCGCCCTAGGTGTGCTGGGAAGGCTTGGCAAATCGCCCTGCGAGGCCCGGGGGCCGCTTCGAGGCCCGTCTGGAGGGTCCCAAAGCCCCAGATCCCGGGAGTCCGTTTTTGTTTTTGGGGGGGGGCGGGTTTTCCCCCCGCCCGGGCTTGCAAACAGATAGGAAGACGAGACTATTTGTATGTATGTATATATATACACACAAGACTGCAGCGGCGCTTCGCGCCATGCACCTTGGTCTTTGAAATTTGGTATGCAGGCGGAATAGCAGGAAGGTCAAGCCAACAATTTAGCGATAACTCCTGATTGCCTTTTCCGGCATCTTCGCTATACTAATGTTTTTCGTTATCCTTCCTCCATGCTTCTTTTTCCTTATTCCCAACCCTCCTGCGTTGGGTTCTCGTTTTGAATAGAGCACTGCTCGCGCGTCGCCTTCCTTACTTCCTTCCTTCCTTCCTTCCCGCCCCCTCCCGCCCCTCTCTTCCCCCTTGCCTTTCGCCTCGCTCGTCGCTGCGTGCCAGCTGGGGGGCTGCGATCTGTGAAACTGTCGCCACTTTCGAGGCCTGCTGGGGGGCCCAGCACAGTGGGTACTCACGGCAGACTCAAATGGGACCTCGCCATCCCTGGGGGGCTGCGATCTGTGAAACTGTCGCCACTTTCGAGGCCTGCTGGGGGGCCCAGCACAGTGGGTACTCACGGCAGACTCAAATGGGACCTCGCCATCCCTGGGGGGCTGCGATCTGTGAAACTGTCGCCACTTTCGAGGCCTGCTGGGGGGCCCAGCACAGTGGGTACTCACGGCAGACTCAAATGGGACCTCGCCATCCCTGGGGGGCTGCGATCTGTGAAACTGTCGCCACTTTCGAGGCCTGCTGGGGGGCCCAGCACAGTGGGTACACACGGCAGACTCAAATGGGACCTCGCCATCCCTGGGGGGCTGCGATCTGTGAAACTGTCGCCACTTTCGAGGCCTGCTGGGGGGCCCAGCACAGTGGGTACCACGGCGGATTCAAATGGGACCTCGCCATCCCTGGGGGGCTGCGATCTGTGAAACTGTCGCCACTTTCGAGGCCTGCTGGGGGGCCCAGCACAGTGGGTACACGGCAGATTCAAATGGGACCTCGCCATCCCTGGGGGGCTGCGATCTGTGAAACTGTCGCCACTTTCGAGGCCTGCTGGGGGGCCCAGCACAGTGGGTACCACGGCAGATTCAAATGGGACCTCGCCATCCCTGGGGGGCTGCGATCTGTGAAACTGTCGCCACTTTCGAGGCCTGCTGGGGGGCCCAGCACAGTGGGTACCACCGCAGATTCAAATTAGACCTCGCCATCCCTGGGGGGCTGCGATCTGTGAAACTGTCGCCACTTTCGAGGCCTGCTGGGGGGCCCAGCACAGTGGGTACCACGGCAGACTCAAATGGGACCTCGCCATCCCTGGGGGGCTGCGATCTGTAAAACTGTCGCCACTTTCAGGCCTGCTGGGGGGCCCGCACAGTGGGTACTCACGGCAGGCTCAAATGGGACCTCGCCATCCCTGGGGGGCTGCGATCTGTGAAACTGTCGCCACTTTCGAGGCCTGCTGGGGGGCCCAGCACAGTGGGTACTCACGGCAGACTCAAATGGGACCTCGCCATCCCTGGGGGGCTGCGATCTGCGAAACCCGTCGCCACTTTCGAGGCCTGTTTGGGGGCCCGGCAAAGTGGGTACTCACGGCAAATTCAAATAGGACCTCGCCATCCCTGGGGGGCTGCGATCTGTGAAACTGTCGCCACATTCGAGGCCTGCTGGGGGGCCCAGCGCAGTGGGTACCCACCGCAGATTGGACCTCGCCATCCCTGGGGGGCTGCGATATGTGAAACTGTCGCCACTTTCGATGCCTGCTGGGGGGCCCAGCACAGTGGGTACGCACGGCAGACTCAAATGGGACCTCGCCATCCCTGGAGGGCTGCGATCCGTGAAAATGTCGCCACTTTCGAGGCCTGCTGGGGGGGCCAGCGCAGTGGGTACTCACGGCTGACTCAAATGGTACCTCGCCATCCCTGGGGGGTTGCGATCTGCGAAATTGTCGCAATTTTCGAGGCCTGCTGGGGGGGGCCCAGCACAGTGGGCACTCACGGCAAACTCAGATGGTACCTCGCCATCCCTGGGGGGCTGCGATCTGTGAAACCGTCGCCACGTTCGAGGCCTGCTGGGGGGCCCAGCACAGTGGGTACCCACGGCAAACTCAAATGGGACCTCGCCATCCCTGGGGGGCTGCGATCTGTGAAACTGTCGCCATTTTCGAGGCCTGCTGGGGGGCCCAGCACAGTGGGCACTCACCGCAGACTCAAATGAGACCTCGCCGCCCCTGGGGGGCTGCGATCTGTGAGCCCGTCGCAAGTTTCGAGGCCTGCTGGGGGGCCCAGCGCAGTGGGTACCCACCGCAGACTCAAATGGTACTTCGCCATCCTTGGGGGGCTGCGATAAGTGAAACTGTCTGCACTTTCCAGGGCTGCTGAGGGGCCCAGCACAGTGGGTACCCACACGCAGATTCAAATTAGACCTCGCCATCCCTGGGGGGCTGCGATCTGTGAAACCGTCGCCACCTTCGAGGGCTGCTGAGGGGCCCAGCACAGTGGGTACCCACACGCAGACTCAAGTCAGACCTCGCCATCCTTGGGGGGCTGCGATCTGTGAAACTGTCGCCACTTTCGAGGCCTGCTTGCGGGGCCCAGCACAGTGACGCCTCTCAAGTAGCTTACACATCAAGTTGATTGTCCATACAAGTTTCGGCCAACTCCTCGTTTCCATTGATACAAATGGGTTGGGTACGTCACAGGGTAATTTTCGCCATACCCTGCGCATTGTCTCCATCCTCCTCAGCTGTTTTTTGCGGAGGCTCCTCCTTAGAGAGCCTCTAGGGGCCCCACAAAAGTTGTTTCAGGCTTTCTTGAGACCTTCTGGAGGCCTCCTGGGCGTATTCTGGGGGCCTCTGGGGGCTTCCTCGGGCCACCCTGCATCCAACCGCGGTCTCCCTGAACGACCGAATCACGATTTGGAATTCTTCGGAGGGTGTCGTTGGGCCATCTTGGGCCGCCATGGGGCTCTCTGAGGGCCATCTTGGACCCGTGTTGTGCCGTTTAGGGGCTCTCTTGGACTGCCTGGAAGCCCTTTCGAATGGTTGTGGCTGTGGGCCGATTTTGGGGCCCCCCAAGCGGCTTCGGACGCCCAGAAGACCGCCGTCTTGGAGCGTCGGGAAGCCGAAAAAAGGAGAACCCTAAAATTCACCAAAAATCTAAAGAAAATCAATGATTTTTGCCTCGGGGGGCCTTCTTGGGAGTGCTCTTGGAGGCCTCTCCGGGGCCGTCCTGGAGGCCTCTTGGGCCATCTTGAGGTCACGTCGGTCACTCTTGGAGCGCTCTTGTGCTGTCTTGGGAGTCTCTGGGACGTCTCCGATGACCCCCCTGATCGCCCTAGGTGTGCTGGGAAGGCTTGGCAAAACGCCCTGTGAGGCCCGGTGGCCGCTTCGAGGCCCGTCTGGAGGGTCCCAAAGCCCCAGATCCCGGGAGTCCGGTTTGGGGGGGGGAGACGGGTTTTCGCCCCGCCCGGGCTTATAGAAATATAGGAAGAGGGATATATATATATATATATATATATATATATATATATATATATATATACACACATACACTTATACATACATATACATATACATATACGTATACGTATACATATGCATAAGCGTATGCATTGACAGATACATATACATATACATATACATATACATGTACAGATACAGCGACATATACTTACACACATATCTAGATATATGAAAATATGTAGGAAGCAGAAAAACACAAAAAAGTCCTCGCCTCGCGCACTGGGGCCAGGGAGGCCATCTCCTGGAAGGCCGCCCCCGCAGGCGCGGGCCACGACGGGGGCCCTCAGATCCTACGTCGCGCGCCGCGGGGGGGGGGGAAGCTTCCTCACCGTCCTCTGGGGCTCGGGCGCGGCCCCAAGACGGGCCCAAGAGTCGCGTAGGAGATGGACCTACAGAGCTGACGCACACCTGACTTTTTTCTCGCTGGATGGGATGTACGAACAGATCTACGAGCATGATGCGCACTTCTTCGTGCATTCGACGACCAGATCCATGTTGGGGTAACTCAGTTCTGCAGACGATCCCCGATTCGAGAGAGAGGCATCCGTAGCCCTTGTGGCTCAAGCCGTGCTGCCGCAAGCTTGTTCTGCAACTGATCTCCCCCGCGCACTTCGACTCGGAGAGAGAGGGCTCACACAGCCCTAGCAGTTTTTACAGGTCTGTGCACTTCGGCAGCGCGTTCCAGCGCAGCTAGCCAGCCATGGCGGTCTCCTTCTGCCGCGATGCCGCCGCCGCCGCCCACTGCGGCGCCCCCCCCCGGTCGGCGGCCCGCCTTCGGTGCCGCTCCGCTCCCCCGGGCAGCGCCGTCCCGCCCACCGCGGCTGCCCAAGTGCCCTGGGGAGAGGCCCCGCGACGGGAGCGGGAACACGAGGAGAAGGGATGCCTGGAGGAGGCGGTGGGCCGCCCGAGTGGACAGGTTGGACGGCGGCTCGCTGCGTGACCTGATCGCAGAGCTGCTCACCCTCGGCCTGGCAAGGCTCGAGAAGGTGGAGGCTACGGCGCGGAGGGGCGAGGAAGCGGACAAGGACGACAGCGTGGCCAGCGGCAGGCGCACGGAGCCCGAGGCGTACGCGGGGCCAGTGCGCCGGCAGCCCCGCGGCACGCCACGGTGAGGATGATCGCGACCACTTCGCTCTGAGCATGTCCGACGCCTTGTCCCCCCGGCTGCTCGTCGTCGAACTCTTCGGCTTCTGAGCGTCCCTTCTTCCTCTCGGCCGTCCCACCCCCCCTCCTTGCTCGCCGGCAAATTGGCTAGCTTTTGCTGAAGCGGAGTTCGCCGCCTCGCCGATGACGGAAATGTCCGACGCTTTGAGCCGCCTCTCCATCGACCGCGGCGCGCCTGGGCAGGCCAGCGCGGGGAATCGCCGCCGCCCGCGAGAAGCGCTTGCGCCATATCCAGCGGATCCGCGAGCAGCTGGAGCTTCCGCATGCATACATACATATATACATACATATGGACATACATACATACGTGCAGACATGCATACATGTATACATACATACCTACATACACCCATAAGAACATGCAGGTATGCATACATACACCCATCTATCCATACATGCATACATACATACGCACACATACATGTGCACATATATACGTACATACCTGCATGTGTATATACATATGCACACATACGTGCATGCATGCAAACATACGTACATGCATGCATGCATCCACCCATCCGCCCCGTCCATGCATATATTCTTATACACGCACGCGCTTGCACGCATACATACCTGCATTCGCACGCATGTATATATACATTGATACACACATACATGCAGGCATACGTACACACATAGTTATGTGTATGTATACATGCATGCATGCATACACCTCGCATCAATACACCCATCCATACATGCAACCATACTTGCAGTCATACATACATGCACATATGCACACATGCATGCAAACATACACACATGCAGACGGCCGTGCATGCATGCATACAGACATGCGTGAATGCATGCATACAGACGTACGTGCAGGTATACAGATCTGCATACACACATGCATGCATGCATGCATACAGAAAGACAAATACGTCCGCGCGTGCATACACGCATCCATAGACACGTATAGAAGTACATGCATACATCCAGACATGCATACAACCATACATACCTGCATACATACACACCGACATACACATATGCACAACTGTGTACATTGTTACATACATAGCTACATACATACATGCATGTGTACATGCATACATGTATGCACGCATACGTGCGTACATTCGTATGTACATACATGCATACACACATCACATGCACATATTATACATACCTACATAAACACCCACGTACATCCTTTGGCTATGCATGTATCTGCGCGCCCGAGCGGCAGAGGCACCTGCACGCCTGTGCGTCGGGACACCTCGTCTCGTGCGACCTCCACAGCACGAGTCTTCAGATTTACCGCACTGGGGACCTCGGCCCTTGGCTGTGTAGATGTTGACGGAGTCATCGGGCACGAACAGACGAACAGTCGGTCAGCCCTGATTGGTAGGTCGACCATTCCAAACCGAGGGTTTCTTTTAGTAGGGTGGTCTTTAGTTTGATCAGGCGCCTGCAGTCACGCCTGCAGGCCCTCTCCGAGCTGCAGGCCCTCTCCGAGCTGCTGGAGTAATTGGGCGCACGCTTCCTCATCCCCCTCCCCTCCGCTCCCCCCTCCGCCACGTGACGCAGTGTTCTCATATGGTGAGAGCATTAGTAGGCCCAAGAGAGGCAATACGAACTGACATCTCGAGTCGTTCCCGCCGTGATGGCCCAAGAGCCCCCTCAGTGACCCCCGAAGCCCCCAAGAGGTCCAAGAGGCACCCAAGAGGCCCCCGAGAGGCACTCAAGAGGTCCCCACCTGCGGATCGCACCAGTGCACCGACAGCGCGCGAGCAGGCATCCAAGACGAATCACAAGAAGTCGAGACGACACACGCGCCCACACCGACACGAAGGCCCTCCTCCTCCTCCTCCTCCTCCTCCTCCTCCTCCTCCTCCTCCTCCTCCTCCTCCTCCTCCTTCTATCCACCTAACTTTCTCGCACTGCGTGTGTTCGGACACGCCAGAAACCAGAGGCCACGGCGTCGCCCACGGGGTCTGAGCTCGGCCTGGGCGCTTGTCCGCAGCGGCAGTCGTCCGTTCCTCCAGACTGCGTTTGGGGGACGGGAGGCCGTGGTCGGGGTTGTGGGGCGAACGCGGATTCTCCATGCCTCTCAGGTGGGGTCGGAGCAGGTGGGGTCGGAGGATCGCGCCGCATCACCGATGCGGCTCGGTGTGGAGCCCGACGTGCTCCCACTCTGGTGGCGCCGATGCGTCGCCGACGTCGCCGATGCATCGCTGATGCATCGCCGAGACATCTTCGATGCATCGGCGATGCACTGGCGATGCGGCACGATCCGCCGACCCCATCTACTCGGACCCCGGTTGGCAGGCCAATGAAGCTTGAGATCTTGACGTCGCAATTCTGCGAGCCAGGCGTTCTTGGCCTGCGTCGGGCCCTGTGACCTGGGACCCTCACAGATCGATCCGAGTTTACAAAGGTGCCGAAGCAAGGACGGTGTCCAGGGCTCCAGTCGCGCTTCCGTCAAATTACGCCATTGTTGGGGGCACCAAGAGGTACCGATACCGCCACGCTCTGGACCTCTCCCAGGGTGCGTTCTGACTAGGATTTCGAGGCGAATCCAGCGGTTGCGACGACGGAGGCCCAGGAGGCCAAAAAAGGGGGCCCTTCGGAGCTCGCTGAAGCGCTTTTCCGAAACGGCCGCAGCGCCCGATGCTCAGACCTTCTCGGGCAATGAAAAAATAATGACGGGAGGTTTTTGCTGTTTTCGGCCTCTGTCGGCCCGTATCGGCCCTCGAGACCGCAAAAAAACGATTCAGGATGAAAAACCGGTCCAGGGGAATGGGTCGAGACCTCCAGGGGCCGACGTAATGACAAATCATGACGTCGGGGGTCTGGGATTCGGGCGAATGGGTCTTTTGCAAAGGGGGTCTCGAACATGTGTGCAACAGTTCTTGCAAACGCTCGTGCTGGATCGTGCCGGATGGGGGCAGAATGCGCTGCATGTGGCATTGTGGGTCCGTAACAGAGGCCACGCCCCATGAGCCACAGGATTAACTATTGCACATGAATTCATAACTCAACAGGAAAGGCCCGCTTTGCCCAGAAGCAAGATACGTCCTCCAGAACCGCTGGATCTCAGGGGTCCTCCAGAGCCGCCGGCCTTGGCTTCGACTGAGTGGGAGCGCCGAGCCAGGGCGTTCCCCGCCATTGCCTCTCTGGACACCGTCGACCTCGAGGGGTCGTTTCCGCGCGCACGCTCTCATCTTGGATCTGTCTGAGGCGTCCGAGGCGCAAGCCTGTCAGGGTGTGCGCTAGTGCCGCAGCCCGCCGAGAAGAAGCGCTTTGTCGATTGCCTTGGGCCGCAAGAGGCTTTTTTGGGGGGCCATGAGCCCCCGAGTCCAGGTTCAGAGCCGTCGGCAGAGTCGAAAGCCACCCCACGGCGGGGGTGCCACGTGCCCGAGGCGCTCTCCGTGAGGCTTTTTTCACCACCACGTCTCGAGCTCGAGGCTTTCGGAACCATCGTACCTCTGATCGGCCTTGCTTGGTGCGAGCTACCCAGACGCCGAAGGTGCCCCACGCAGTGGGCGGCCAGAGCGCCGCGTGAGCGACAGCCTATGCGAGACCTGCACGGATGTAGCATGATCGGCGCCCGCCGCTGCGCCCACACGTCTGTTGCGTCCTGTCATTGTCTTTTTCCGCCGTTCCTGCGTCTCTTCCTTCCGCTTGTCCTGTTGCTCTGGCATGGCCAGAAGCACTGCTGGCCGGCGGTGCCTAACCCCGCCAGTGGCCGCTTGGGGCTTGGGTCCTCCTCCCGTCGTTTGTGACCTCCCCATCGTCCCCGTCGTCCCCTGAGTTCCAGCGCCCATCCTGAGTCGTTTCTGTTGACGGCCCCGGGGCCCGGACGCGGCCTGCACCGACCATTGCAAGAGAGAGTTCCAGCAGAGCCTGCTCAGACCCCAGGGCTCTGGGTCCCCGCACTCTGCCCCTCTGCAGCAACTTCGGGCTCGAGGTACCCCACAGCAGTCAGCAGGCAGACTGCCTGGCCTCTTGCCTGGCCCCGCCCCGGACAGCAGGCCGAGCCCGGCGGCAGCCGCCCACCCAGCGACATGGCGGCCAGCATCATGTGTCTCCTGGCGGCATGCCTCGCCGGGAGCGCGCCCGGCCTGGCCTCGGCCGAGGCCGAGCAGACGCAGTGCCCGGCGCAGACCGTCCAGCAGTGCTCCGTCGAGGGCGAGTGGAGGGACACTGCTCTGCTGGCGTCACTGTGGGAGGCCGTCGCGTCCGGCAACACTGACACCCTGGACGACATTCTGGACTTCTGGGGGCAGTACGCGATCTCCGCCAGGGCCTCTGATGGTCGAGGTCTCGCCTTCTGGGGCTTCGAGTTCAAGAGCGCGTACGCTCTGGGCGCCCTGCTTGCGCTCGGCGGGGACCCAGAGTCGAGCGACGAGGACGTCCAGGGAGCCACGGCCGCCTCGCTGTGCGACGTCGACAGGGACTGCGACAGAGCCAAGCTCATGAGGGAGGCCAGGGCGCTGGTCCCAGACATCAAGAAGCGCAGGGACGAGCGGACGGCCCCCTGCCTCTACGACGTCCTCACCCTGTTCCTCTTCCGCCTCATCCTCATCTTCTGCCTCCTCCCCCTGCCGCCGGCCCACGGCGCAGAGGCGCCAGCGGACACGCCGGCGCGCACGTGACGCCCTGGCGAGTGGGCACGAGTCGGGTTGACCCAAGAGGGGGTCCAGCGACAAGGGGGTGGTTCAAAAGACTTGGCGCAATAGATTTGTGGGGTTGCAGACATTTGGGGCGTGCAAGACATTCCAGGGCGCAAATGTATTGCTGGATTTTCGCGCGCAATACACTACCTGCAATACAATGCGATCCAATTCTCCGGCGCAATACATTTGCAATACAATTGCCCCAAATCTATTGCACCACCCCCTTTCAGATGGACCCCTCTTTGGGTCACCCAAAACGACCTCGGTCGTGAGGGCCCCCAAATGCTGTGGAGGCCACCTGCGCCAGCCTGTCAGTGCTGTCAGCGAGGGCGCGCGGCGCTGAGCTGCCACCTGGCTTCTGCGCGGAGCCGGCAGAGCCGCGGGCCCGCGGCAGGCCCTGCC